CCCAAAAATAAATAAACGTTGAAAAAAAAAATTTTTTAAAAAAGTAATATTAAAAAAAAAGTAAAACCTGAAAGTATATTCTGGTGTCTTTTTTTAATGCTGAGTCATATTGATTTTTTAAAATTTTTATTATTGAAGTGTAGTTGACATAATGATTTGTTTCAGGTAGATTGCTTCGTGATTCAACAATTCTATACATTGCTCAATGCTCACCACCGTAAGTGTAGTTTCCAACTGTATTAATATTTTAATAAAATTTACCCATTTTATTTCTGAGAGAGAGCAAGCACATGCAAGGGAGAAGCAGAGAAAGAGAGAGGAATCCCAAGCAGGCTTCGTGCTATCAATGCAGAGCCTGCTGCAGGGCTCGAACCCAAGAACTGAGAGATCATGACCTGAACCAAAATCAAGAGTCAGGCGCTGAACTGAACTGAGCCACCCAGGCACCCCTCTGTTAATATTCTTTTGTAAGTAAATGGTTGCCTTGAAGTCATTTCTGTGAGATCTAAGTGTTTCCTAATTTTGCAGGAAGAACAAAACTACCTCTTTCCTGGCCTATCTGAAAAGAAATGAATATTCTTCCAAGTCTCCAGAGCCTTTTCCTTTCTATCTCTTTATTGCAGCCACTAATTTCCTTTGTGTCCAATTATAATTATTTATATGTTGCCCTTCCCAGACTGTAAATTCCTTGAGGGCAGGAACTAGACATACAACTGATGCCTGAAATATTGGTAAAAGTGTGTGAGGATAGATGTGTTTGCGTTGGGGGGGAGCGTGAAGAAGAGGGAAAGAGATTTCTGCCCTGTTCAGCCTTGCAGACCCGCAAAGGGGAGAAACCATGGGGGTGGGGGAGAAGGGTTTAGTCAGCAGGGATGAAGCGTGGGGCAGGAGGGGGAGCTATGTCTAGAACCCTCTTTATCTAATATTCCCTTTCGTAAGGGAGTGATAGGGTAGTATGAGAATAAATCACTTGTCTTTGTTTCTTTAACTCAAATACTTTAGATCATTACTGATGCCCAAACTGCCCAAACTGGAAAGGACCTTCAGAGATAAGGAGAAGCCAAGTGTTTTGGATTTTCTGAGACAGTCTCACTTTCAAACTTTCTGTGCCCTTGTTCTACATGGTGAAGTTCATGGAGATGGTTAATGATTTCGTATTGAAAACTTGACTATGGGGGTACCTGGGTGGCTCAGTCGGTTGAGCGCCGACTTCGGCTCAGGTCACAATCTCGCGGTCCGTGAGTTCGAGCCCCGCATCGGGCCCCTGTGCTGACAGCTCAGAGCCCGGAGCCTGTTTCAGATTCTGTGTCTCCCTCTCTCTGACCCTCCCCCGTTCATGCTGTGTCTCTCTCTGTCTCAAAAATAAATAAACGTTAAAAAAAAATTAAAAAAAAAGAAAACTTGACTATGTAAAACTTGTGTAAAGAAACTTGGAGGGCGCCTGGGTCGTTCAGTTGGGTGAGGGCCATCTTGGTTTCAGCTCAGGTCACGATCTCATGGTTTGTGGGTTCAAGCCCCACATCGGGCTCTGTGCCGACAGCGCGGAACCTGCTTGGGATTCTTTCTCTCTCTCTCTCTCTCTCTCACCCTACTTGTGCTCTCTCTCTCTCAAAATAAATAAATAACCTTATTTTTAAACAGAAAAGAAAATTGGAGTAAATCCTATATAGTATTTTTGTAATCAGAAGTGTTAAACATCATAATAGTAAAATAAAGGATACTTTTTAAAAGTACCGTCGTCATTACGTTATAGCTTAACATGAAAAATCGCTTTTTACTCTTAACTTTTTAAAATGCCTACCTCATATCTAACTGAAGATCTTTCTTTACCTTATAGAGCCTCAGACTACTCTGAAAGGTGTTTTTACCCAACTTATCTACTGAGACATTTGTCCCTCTTTCGTGACATTTTAACATCCTAGGTAAGAAAAGTTTATAAAGAAGCAAGTTCTGGGGGCGCCTGGGTGGCGCAGTCGGTTAAGCGTCCGACTTCAGCCAGGTCACGATCTCGCGGTCCGGGAGTTCGAGCCCCGCGTCAGGCTCTGGGCTGATGGCTCGGAGCCTGGAGCCTGTTTCGGATTCTGTGTCTCCCTCTCTCTCTGCCCCTCCCCCGTTCATGCTCTGTCTCTCTCTGTCCCAAAAATAAATAAACGTTGAAAAAAAAAAAATTAAAAAAAAAAAAGAGAAAAAAAAGAAGCAAGTTCTGTTTTCTGGTTTTTAAAAGTCTGTTTTTCTAACAAAGGAGCCACCTCTGGTGGGGGATGTTGATAATGGTGTTGGCTGTGCATGTGACTGCTGAAGGATTGCACGAGGCCTGAAATCTCTGTGCTCCCTGTTCAATTTTGCTACGAACCTAAAAGTCTGCTATAAAAATAAAGTCTTTAAAAAAGACTGAGAAAAAAATAAATCCCCCTCCCCCCCCAAATAAACAAACCCAGAGCAAGACATAATTATTTCTATTCCTCTCTGTCCAAAAATTGTGGACAGGTTTGTATTTGGGGATTACCCCTTGTGATACAGACCTCCTTCCTCTGTTGTGGAGCTCAAGAAGATTTTTCTATAAAGGTCCAGATCATAAGTGTTATGGGCCAAGAGACAAAATCAAAAATATTATATTATTAATATCAAGGATGTAATAATATTATTTCCATGAATTTTTGCTGACAAAATTCAAACTCTGCTACTACTACTACTACTAATAGAGTACTATTAATTAGGGCTCAAAGTTAACGTGCCTTATCAAAACTGACTGCAGATGTTTTTCTTTCTTTACAAACCATATTTAGCTTGGGGGAAGTGCAGAAATAGGCAGTAGGTCCAGATGTGGCCCACAGGCCACAGTTTGTCAACCCCAGCTCTGTTGGTTAAGTAGGTAAAATAGGGCCCAGTCAGAACGCAAATTATGTATTTGGAACCCAATTATGTATCAAACCCAAATAATGTAAGTTATATGAACGCTCCTTTAATGGGAGGGATTGACAGGTGTTAGTATCCTATTTGAAAATCAGTGTTTTCACAAGGAATGGTTTTATTTATTTATTTATTTATTTACTTACTTACTTATTTTAAATGCTTATTTATTTTTGAGAGCAAGAGAGAGACAGTGCAGGTGGGGGGGGGGAGGGGGCAGAGAGAGAGGGAGACACAGAATCCGAAGCAGGCCCCGGGCTCCCAGCGGTCAGCACAGAGCCCGACGTGGGGCTCGCACTCACAAACGGCGAGATCGTGACCCGAGCAGAAGCTGGATTCTCAACGAACTGAGCCACCCAGGCGCCCTTATTTATTTATTTATTTATTTATTTTTAATGTTTATCTATTTTGAGAGAAAGAGCACGGGTGGGGGAGGGGCAGAAAGAGAGGGAGAGAGGGAGAATCCCAAGCAGGCTCCGTGCTGTCAGCTCAGAGCCCGACGCAGGGCTTCCTCCCTCAAACTGTGGGATTACGATCTTAGCTGAAACCAAGAGCCGGACGCTTAACCAGCTAAGCCACCCAGATGCCCCCGCAATGAATGATTTTAAAGTGACTTAATGGAAAAAATGGTAACTGTGTGAGGTGCTGGATGTGCTAACTAACCTTGTTGTAGTAATCATTTCACAGTATGTTAGTAGATCCAATCATCGTGGTATACACCTTAAACGTACACGATATTACATGTCAATTATCTCTCAGTAAAGCCGGAAAAAAATGTAAAGAGCCAGTAAGAAAGAAAGAGAGATAAAGGCTTAATCGAACAGTTACATTGTACGTGAGTCTTTGGTCAGGCGATTTTGACTTTTAGTTTGGGCATGAATAACCAAGAATTTCTAGGATGTATCTCTTTCCTGTCATTGCTGGGTACCTTGGCCCTTCCTTATACTTAGGAGCGTAAGATTTTGTTCTTGAAAGGAAGATTCAGAGACTTTTTTGGTCTGAATAACTTTTGGTAAATCATGACTTCTCATGTGTTTGTTTTCTTCATGATGGCTTTAGCTATAAATATGGGAACGTATTCAGATGCTTTTAGCAGTTGGCAATTCTGTTTAAATTCTAAGATGAGAATTTCACAGGAATGCTTATCATATATTCATCACAAACATCGCTCAGTCGTAAACCTTTTTGGTTTCTCTTTAGACCTTTAAATGGACGAGATGGCTGCCACTCAGATTTCCAAAGATGAGCTTGATGAACTGAAAGAGGCCTTTGCAAAAGTTGGTGAGTATTTTTTACAGCGTTACCTATAGTAAAGCAATAATTATGTGGCCCTGATAAAAGTTATTTCTCTAAAAAATTATATGAATGGTTAATCGTGAACCGTAGGGCAAGGTAGTTAAAATCAACGGGATAAAGTTTTAGGAGCAACACGTTAAACTATTATTTCTAATTACGTCTATTATCTAATATGGTCAAGGGCCGGCTGAATGGCTCCGTTAGTAGAGCGTGTGACTCTTGATCTTGGGGTCATGAGTTCAAGCACCATGTTGTGCCCAGAGATTACTTAACAATAAATAAATAAATAACAAATAAACAGGGTGATGTACTTCTTTGTAAAAAAAAAAAAAAAAGTGGTCCTATGAAATAAATTCCACAGCATACCAATAAGAAAAATAAAAAAGGTAGATTATCTAATATGGTCAAAGGTTTTTAGTCCTGGGTACCAGTCCTTCGCTGGGGGCCACTGTGGCTCCTGAAATTCTTAGACAAATCTTTGGTTGTTAACTGTATTATATAGCATATATTTCTTAGAGTATTGGAGCCTTCACCATATTCTCAGAGGGACGTGTGACCCCTGAAAACCTTAGGTGATTCCTTCAATTAGCTGATGTTTTGCCTTTCCCTGATTAGCTTGGCTTTGTGGCCTTTTTCATGGAGCTTCTGTGCCTTTGGATAACACAGTCTGTTCAACCTTCTCACGTTAAGCTGTAGTATCAGCATAAGATGGGAAGACGTAGCATGCCATTCGGTTTTTCCTTAAACATCACAGAACATGTCTTAGAATTTCGCAGCTATGGAAGCAGTTGATAGTATTTACATTCCAAATTTCAGTGCTCATGTCCTATCAATAGAAGATAGTGAGAAAACAGGGTAAGAACTGATGATCGATGTATGTACTCACGTGAGTCAACATGGGCCTAAAGAGGTAAGCTGCTAGTATGTGGTATCTCCTTGATCAAAGGGTGTCAAGTTAGATCATAATGATTTGTTATTTAAATCAGAACTGACTCTCTGACCTATGTTACAAACCTCATTAATGAAAAGCCAGGACATGTACATCTCTATTTCCGTACATTTCGGAACAGCATTTTCTGCGAAGGCATTTAAGGCCAACAGCAGGCCTTGGGAAGAATAATGATGCCTCACCGGGGTGACTATTCATAATCTCCTCAGAATTCTAAGCAGAGGTGCCCCTCTGCTCAGTCTGTTAAGCTTCTGACTCTTGTTTTCTGCTCAGGTGATTTCAGCTCTCGAGCTCATGGTTCGTGGGATCGAGCCCCGCTTCGGGCTCTGCTCTGACAGCGTGGAGCCTGCTTGGGATTCTCTCTGTCCCTCTCTCTCTGTCCCTCCCCAACTCACGTGTGTGCACACGCTTTCTCTGTCTCAAAATAAACATTAAAAAAAAAATAACTCTAAGTGGAAAAAATTGGGTAGGCCTGAATCGAACATAATTTTCTGGGTGTCTATGAGAAAAAGAAAAAAAGGAGTCTGTTAACTGGCCATAGTTACTACTTACCGTAAGGAGAGTATTATCTAGTACTCTCCTGATGTTCGATTGATTGCAAGAAAATAACAGGTGAATTCCTGGCTGCAAGATTTTTTAAATCTCATTATTCTATAGAAATATCCTTGTCATAATTGTTTTAGCATTGCATATCCTTTGAACCTTCTTTTTTTTCTTATGTTCGTCTTTCAGTTTGAGGGACGGCCTAATTTCTGTCTTTATGAATAGAATCTTGGGGTAAGGACCATGACTTATTATTGCCATTATTGAATCTTAAAGGCCTCGTTTCCTCAAATACACGTTTATTGTTTAATACAGGCCTTGTTCTCATGTGCAGCACCTTGAAAACAATTGTGTGCAATTTCGTTTTAAAATTAAAGCTCTTCAAATATGTTTTACTTGAGGGCACTGAAATACTCTCATCCGTAAAAGAGCTTAACTGCTCCTCGAAAGCTTTAAAGACACAAAGAGGGTTGACCAGTTATCTCCACATAGGAACCAGGGTTAAGTACAAAACATGAGGGATCAGTTAGAGCTTGGACTGAAGGAAAGAGTCACTATAGAACTACTGTCTATTTTAAATCCTGCACCTTGGGGCGCCTGGGTGGCTCAGTCGGTTGAGCGTCTGACTTCGGCTCAGGTCATGATCTCACAGCTTGTGAGTTCGAGCCCCGCGTCGGGCTCTGTGCTGGCACCTCAGAACCTGGAGCCTGCTTTGGATTCTGTGTCTCACTCTCTCTCTCTGTCCCTAACCCACTCGCATTGTCTCTGTCTCTCTCAAAAATAAATAAATATTTAAAATCAATCAATCAATCAATCAATCAATCCTGCAGGGGTTAGGGTGGATAAGGAGTTTCCCAAAGACAGCAGATTGGATCATACGTCCTACTGATGTCCCTAATAGACATATATTTATTTCGAATAGGGGTGCCTGGGTGGCTCAGTCGGTTAAGCATCTGACTTT